GGAATAAGCGTAATATAAGCTTCTGACCATGTTTTAGGTATTTTCTTATTTATCATAACTTCATAATTTCTAACAATGAAATACTCAATGATTCTTGTAATGTTTTATAAAATTCTGCCGGGAAACCATCTGGTCCTGGTGCTTTCCCGTTATTCTGTCTATTAAGTGCTTCAGTTAATTCCATCATTGTTATAGGATTTTCCAACATTTTCCCAGTTTCATCAGATATCTTGGGTAGGTTGGCATTTTGTAAATACTGTTCAATTTTCCCCTCATCAAAATCCTCCTGCTTATATAATTGTGCATAAAAATCTCGAATAATTCTCTTTTTCTCCTTATTACCATGACAGACTAGACCCTGTTCATCCATTAACTGTAGTATTCTCCTTGATTCTTTCTCTTTTCTCAGTTTGTATGCTAACCATCTACCTGGTCTGTTTGCATCCTCAAAATAGTTCTGTTTAGCACTTCTAATTTTTTGCGCCAATTCTTCTTTCTCTGTTTGATCCATTTTATGTTTAATTATGTCCATTTTAAATTTAATATCTTTTTTCTGTGGCAATCTCTGTAATTCTTTTTAAATTTAATATCTTTTTTCTGTGGCAATCTCTGTAATTCTTTTTCCAATTTTTTATAATCATCTTCTAAAGTTTTAATCATTTGCCTCTTTCTAATATTTTTTTTCTTTGTGTATTCCATTATCAATCCTCTTGCATATGCCTTCATTGTGTCCCAAACATTCTGTATTGAAGTATCTTCTTTTCTGTTTTCATTAAAAAAGAAGGCCAGTTCTTTTTCCATCCACTGTGTAAAATCTTTTTTCTTTAAAATAGTATTATTTAATGTCCATCTAGATCTTCTTTTTTGTCCTTTCCATTTAATTGTCATTGGGTTATGATCTGCCCATGTACTTGTTTCAATATTTATTTCTTGAATATTAGATAATAATTCTGTTGACGTCCACATCATATCTATTCTGGACCATGATGAATGTCTATTCGAGTAGAAAGTATATTGTTGAGTTTTAGTATTTCTTTCTCTCCATATATCTTTTAGTTTTAGTTCCTCTATCATTTCAAAAAAGGATTTAGGGAGGATCTTCCTATTTTGTCGTGTTATTTTTGCTGTGTAGTCCAATTCATTGTCTACAATTCCATTAAAATCTCCCATTATAAATATATTAGCGTAGTCCAATTCAATTATTTTCATATGTAATTTTTTATAAAATCTTTTTTGTTTATCATTCGGAGCATAGATTGCAACCAAAAGTATCTTTGTATTGTTATCCACTATTTCAACCATTAGTACTCTTCCATCTTCATCAGTATAAATCAATTTTGCTGAAATGGTTTCTTTAATATACAATACCACTCCTCTTTTCTTACACTGGGCCAAAGAAGTAAAAATTTTCCCTATTTTTGGTCGCACCAATAATTGTTGATGTTGTTTTTTAATGTGTACTTCTTGTAAGCAAATTATATCAAATTTTAATTTCTCTATTTTATGAAAAGTTTTCCTTCTTTTAGTAGCTGAATTCAGTCCATTTATATTCAAAGAAATCAATTTTTTTTCCTCCATAGTTATGATTTATATTTAGGTCTAACGGCTCTCGTTGATCTTACTTCACGTTGTTCTTTAGTCTCCACTTGTCCACCTACTGCACCTTCTTCTTTTCCCATCTCTATTTGGTCCTCTTGAAATTCAGTTAATGTAGTCTCTTCTTCTATCTCTGTTTCTTTTCTTTTAAAAAATTCCTTATAAAACGATTCTGCTTCATCAATTGAGCCAATTCTGTATCTCTGTTCTTTCCATGTAACCATTAATCCTTCTGGAATCAACCATCTGTAATTCACCTCCTTTTCCAATAATACTTTAGTCAGGAAACGATATTCTCTCCTCATCTCTCTAATTTTTCTGGGTATTTGTTTTAAAACCCCAATCTCTTTATCTCCATATTTCAATGTCTTCTCTCTTGCCGCTTGTAATATCTGTGTTCTGATAGATTTTTTAGTAAATCTAACATGAACTTCTCTTGGTAACTTATTCCTCGATGCATATCTTGTAAAAACTCGGTATATCTCATCTATTCCATCCATCATTTTTTCCTCTGTTATTTCCAAAGCTCCAGCCAAGATTTCTATCATTACTGCAGCAAGATCTTGTCCTTTTTCTTCCTCTATATTTTGAAATCGGAGGTAATATTCTGATCTATCCATCTCCCACTTCACCATCTCATTCTTGTTTTGTTCAAGCGTTGTCACTCTGTCATCAATATTTCCAATTTTCTCATCTCTTTGATTGTCTTTCTCTTCCAATTTTTGCAATTTCTCATCTCTTTGATTGTCTTTCTCTTCCATTTTTTGCAGTCTCTCATCATACTTCGCCATCATCTGTTGGATGTTTTCAATTTTTTGTTCAATACTCCCCATCCTTTGTTCAATACTCATTTTAAGTTCTTGAATTCCTTGCATAACCGTCGTTAGATCCGTTTGTCCTTTATCTTGCTTCGCCATTGTTGAAAGTCGTCCTCCAGTTGATGGGGAAGCAGGAGCAGAAGTTGATGCGCCAGAAGGTAGAACTTTCTTACTCATTTGAATAGCTCAGAATCTTCCCACTCTTTTAATCCAGTTGGCAGTGTAACAATTATAATCCAATTAGGGAAAGGAAAAACGTAAAAAAGAAAAATCAGTAAAAAAAACAAAAAAACCCAAAATTTAAAAAAGGAAAAAAGTTTCAAGGAAAAAAGAAAAACTTCTTTCTTCAGGTTCTTCTAGACCTTAATCCTCAGTTGCAATAGTCAAAAGGAGAATAAAACCCAATAATATTAAAAAAAATAACAATAATAATAAAAGGGAAAAAAAAAAGAAAAATTCTTCAGGTTCTTCACACCTTAATCCAATTGCGAAATCTCAAGAAAAAAAAACATGGCCACAAAAAAAGAGTATATACATACAAAGGTAAAAAAAAGCAAAAGTCCCCCCCCAAAAAGAAAAGAAAAAGGAAAAAAAAAACAATATTCTGAGGCTTTCCCTTTAGAGAAAAAAAAAATGAAAAATAATAATAATAGTAATAAGCAAAAGTGTACAAATATTACAAAATACTATAGGGTTGAGGAGGAGGGATAAAAGCTAATAACAAGTAAAGCAAAAAGCACACTGCATTTTATTTAAACATCCAAGGCTCTTATTATGGCTTCTCCACAAGTTTCAAAGCCAAGCTTCAAACATTCAGTTGATTGTAGAAATCCCAAAGAGACACCTGTGAAAACATTCTCCAGAGTTCCTCTCTCTATCTTATCAACTCAGTGTCCTTGGGAGAGAGTTTCTCACAGTTCTCTCAACTTCAAGTAAAGTATTTTCAAGCCTCTAGTTGGCAGTGTTGCAGAGTTACAAAGTTTCTCAACTCCACTCCCCCTTCTTCCACCCCCCAAAAAAAACCAATAGAAAAAGAAAATATGTATATATATAT